GGGAAAGAGAGGCGGGGTGAGAGGTCTCTGTGCCTTGGGGATGCAGCAGAGTCACTGCAGATCAGAGGATGCTGATCTTGGTACACACCCAGTAGTTCAAACCAAATGAGTTTTAGCTGAGAGCCATTGATGTCGTTAGGGCCAAAGCTAACAGGCTTCCACTCCTTTTGGAAAATGAACCGGTGCAAATGCACAATACAGACTTCAGGAAAAGAATGGAGGTGAAGGTGACATTCCTATTATTAAAATAATCATATTTGAGTCCTGGTGATGGGAGAAGGAGGAAGTAATCATGCTGCCTGACGTAAGGCACTTATTTGAGCAGCTTAGTTAAAAAAAGCCTTGTCCCTAGTTCCCTGGATGGGCAATGTGAAGTAAAAGACTCTTCCAGAAGCTGATGAGCTTTATTCTGAACTGGGGGAGAAACTTCTCTTAGTTGATTCTGTGGGGAGCCTACAAGGAGTAAGTACCCTGGCAATACCTGCCCTTCACATAGTTCCCTGCCAGTTAGCAGGTGGTGGGAATACCTTCCTTTGCTAAAATGTCTGAACAACTTGTAAGCAGCACAGAAACTTAATGGTTAATTGCGTACTCAGACACATACACACTTAAACCAAAAAAATATCTTTTCCAAATGGCCCTTAATAACCTGCATTATTCATTTATTGAAGGGGATGTAAGATCATAACCCACTTATGAAAAGAGGGAGTCCAAATTGCAACTTTTGAAAATGTAACCCACTATATGTAGCTACAATAGCAAGATTAATCTTTTTCTTATCTGTAGGTTTGTTTATTTAAATTTATGGAAACATAAAAAGCTCTAGGCGCCTAGACATATATTAAGAAAGACAAATTAACATCAACAACATGAGCAATCCCAGTAATTTCCTCTATGTGCAAAGGGAAAATAAACCTCTTTGCCATGTACTAATCCCAACCCCAATATTCCCCCAGCCCTCAGCTGCCCTCTTCCTCCTCAGAAGCCTGGGAACAGAGATGGGGGCTTTACGATATGCCTAGAAGATCAGCAGTAAGCTTACTTCAGAATAAAGAAGAGGGAGTAGAAAACACTAAGAAAAACAAACCACAAAAAAACCCACCCTCCCTGAACAAATATTTTTTGATATGAAGAGAAGCTTTTTGACGCCCCCAAGGCTATGTTCATTTTTAGCAAACAAGGACTGTGTGTTCTTTCCTGTTACCCCTGCTCGCTCGCTCTTTTGGTTTTTTCTAGTGAGGTAACACAAAAAATGAGAGTCACTTGGACCATTAAAGATATTTATTGTTTAAACTTCCTAATTTGACATTATCCATACTCTGCAACCAAACCAAAAATCTGGACGTGGAAAGTTAAGACAAGCAGCCAGGCTACCGAACCGCATTCCTATAGCACCTACAGTTACCCAGCATTACTGACCCCAAGGATCAGAGGCCATTAACAAGATCGCCCCAAATCAGGAAGCTGGTTCAAAACCCGCAGCGTTTCCCTTCTGTGATTCCTTTTTTCTGCCACAGCTGTTCCACAGCATATATTTAACCGAATGAGCGGGGAGACGATCTTGACAACATCCTTTTACTTTTGCTCCCATATATAATTTCCTAATATTTATAAAGGCTACAAAACCAGATATGTTGCCACAGATACGTCTTGTGAGCTCACAAATGCAAAGCTGAGCTTTTAGATTCACCCTACACCCCTACCATTTTGGTCAGCTTATGAGCAATATATAATGAATAATTCTCCCACTTCAAATGACTGCAAAGCTACAAGCCACTAAAACCAGGGTTTTATAAGAAAAAAGTGACAAGAAATCTGACTCATAACCAGCACTACCAATTACAGGTATAATTCTAAATAAATATGGGTATGTCTGAATCTGAAGTGAGGTTGAAGAGAGGAAAAATTGCATATATTTGAGGATACTGTAAGGTTAAAAGAAATACAGATGCAATTCTGTAAGACAGTAAATTCCATAAAGTGAATGTTATTAAAGCAAAGAACATCTGTTTTCATTTCATTCCATTCCAAGCGTCCTTAAAAGTTACAGAACAGCTGATACCATAACAAAAATGCAGCTAATTCATAAAAGAATAAAAATAATAGAAAATTCAGATTAAATCCACAGTGCAAAACGGTAACCCTTGTGAACAAATGGAACCAAACCAAAGTAAATGATCAAAACCTCACACCTTTCTACACAGCCCAGCCAGTTACATTAATATTTAATAAAGTTCCCTACTCAGACATGAATTCTAGAGAAAGTGTGAAAGAAAAAACAACATCCAAGCAAAGAGCAAAACATACTCCACATCCTACTGACTGCTCTAAAGTGAAGGCTCTTTTCATGAACACTCTGATCTTTACACTGAAAACAGTGGCCGATGTAAATATCATCAATATGCTGGTTAATAGGGTGAAAGCAGAATATAAATATTTTTAGGCTATACCCTCATCTTGATTATAACCTTTCTGCTGACAGCGATGCTCACAAAAGACCCTGTCCTTCCATACCGTCTCCCCATATAGCCCTGCAATATCTTGTCACAGAGTTCTCAGCCCAAAGAAGAGAAAGCATCTGAAGATCCCCACGTTGATTAGCGATGCAGCCAGCACTTCCGCAGAGGAGGCAGGCACTTCGGTTCTGCGGCGGGCTGACAGGGAGCAGCCGCTGCGGGCCCCAAACAAGGACGGGGCCTCAGGTGCAAGGACACAGCATAAACCGGACTTGACCCAGAACAGGCGTTTGGTTCTGGATCGAGCACGTGCTTGTGTTCAATCTGTGCTTTAGCTTTGGGAATGTCAAGGGCAGACACTGAAAGTTTCTACTGCATTTCCCCAGGAATATTACAGATTGGTAGAGCTCATTGTAGGTATAAATGTTATGTTTAGCTGGAGGGAGGGGTCTCCTGAAAACTTTACCAGTGTTCTTACAGTGCTACCTGTAAGAAAAGCAATTCTTACACACAAAAAAAAGTCATGCTTTTATATTGACTAGCTGATGCAAGAGATGGAAGGAAGCATCAGGTCTAGAAAAAAAACCCTGTAACTTTAAACACAGGTCTGCTCTTCCTGCTCTGCTTCTACACTCCCACACAGGTCAGCTCACAGCAAGAAGTCCTAGCAGAAAGGTCACAGTGTCTCTCCTTTCCTGGCAGTTAAAGCTCCCGAAGCTTAGATTTCATTTCTAGACATACATTCTTTGATTTGTATTTCCATTCTTTCATTACTGAGACGCTTTTCTGGTTAATCCCTCTGCAAATAACTTTAAAACAAGGTTGGATGCCTTCATTTATTTTGAAAACACAGATGGAAAAATGTTACAGGAAAACAAACTTTTGGAAGAAGAGCTACTGGCATTTTATACACAGAATGAATGCCCGTTTATATTGTCGGAACAGTCAAAACACATGGCAGCTCACGCTACAGGTAGAGAACAACCAGCACCAGTAGCACTCTGAAACCACTCGCTGCAAGGAGTACTCAGTACACTAGCCCAGACCTGCTCTCCGTAGAAGATCCTTCCATCGATGGCGTTGTTCCTTTCCATACTTCAGGCTACTCTCCCGAGCTTTAAAGCTGCCATCCTCTACAGTGTTCACATACCTTCTTCCACAGTGCCAGGGCACACATTAAAAGCAGATTTCACAGGACGTGCAAGGCTAAGTTGTGACTGATGAATTCTCCATGACAGCGTACTTTACAGAACCTCCCGTGACAGCCGACGGGAGCAGGGCCCTCCCGCAGCAGGCACACAAAGCAGGCAGAGCTGCAAACGCTTTAACGTTTCCACTTGTGGCACAGCACAAGCAGAGTGTTTTGGTCTTTCCGGGAAGACCCATCTCTCGGTGGTTAAGTAGCAGTGCTTGAGGGAGGTAACTCGAACTACCAGGATTAAGGCATACTTTCCCAGCATATTCAGAGGGTTTAATATCGTTTTTGTGGATATTAACATTGTGGCAGCTGGTTATTATGAGCTTTAATACATATCAGGAGCTTCTTGTTTTGACGTGAATATAGGAATATGTGTGGAAATATCTGAGAAATATCTGAATATCTGTAGGAATATCTGAGAAATATCCCCTGGGGAAAGAACTCTGCCTTTTTCTAGGTTTCCATGGCAGAGAAGGCAGTTTCACACTTTTGAAGCAAAAGCTGCTGTTAGCAGACTCTTGAAAACGTCTTCTCCGCTTAGCCATCACAATGTGTTTCTTCTGTTAAGAAAAGTGAGAAGCCTTATTAATCTGAAATTGTATTCAACAGCTATTGCAACTTAAGCAATACTTGAGATGTGACCACAGAGCGTCTGCCAAGGGGACAGAAATGACTTTTGCTCCAGCAAACGCTTCGTTGCACTCAAGAGGACCAATTCAGACACGATGTGAACCGCCCGCAGGCAGGAACAACAGCAAGCCGGGCGGCTTTCACGTGTAACGTCACGCAGGAAACCACCACCCGGCACCCAGAGCCCTGCTGAATCGAGGGCCTTTCAAAGCACACAGCGAGACCCCCGCGGCCGACGCGCACCTGCGGGGGGC